CTTCAGACCCTTAGCCTCTGTCAACTCCATTTTACATTAATACATGTAACTACTGAACACTAATGGAAACTCGTTTAATGTTTCCCTAGTTCTTATACATTTGTGTTATGTCAGCGAACAACACACATCTGCGTTTGAGGAGTCAAATCTGCCTGCCTTTAGGAAGGTGGCTTCAGACTGTTTTCAGTGGCAAGTTGCCCTTTAAAACTCCTGAGAAGGAAAACTGCAAGCGCTGTCCAGGGTCCTGCTCTCTCTGGCAGTTGAAACCCGTTTGGGGCCACCTGCTCCTTAAGGACATCCCCATGCTTTCAAAGCGCTTTCTCTGAGTCAGGAGACTCAAAGTTGCACTCAGCAGACCCACCAGTCACTGGCTCTCTCCCCTCTCCCCTGCACACTTGCTCTCTGCTTCCCTCAGGCAAGAGCTGCTGTTTCTTAAAGACTTGTGCGCTTCTCCTCCACAGGCCCCACCCTTCAGGTCCTGTCCTCCTCGGCCCCACTCATCAGGCTGCAGCGCCCCTCCTCCCCCCAGCAGGAAGGCTCTCTACAAGCCTTACCCTCCAGTCTCAACTTCTACAGGGCAGCTTAAACTGCTCCAATTTGCAGACACAGACGCCTTGCAGTACTCTCAGATCCAGGTTCCAGTCACCGTTGTCAAGTGACCTCCAGCACTTTTCCATCAATGCTTAGCTGTGCCCTTCCTGAATTCTCATCTGCCATGTCACGAGTTATTAAGACAGGGTCTCATCATGTAACTTTTTTTCTGAGACTGGGTTTTTCTGTGTAACAGTGCGGGTCATTCTGAACTCACTCTGTAGACCAGACAGGCCTTGAACTCAGATCCACTTGCCTCTGACTCTCAGATGCTGCAATTAAAGGCTGGCACCATCACCCACCTAGATCATGTAACTCTTGCTGGCCAGGAACTCATTCAGAACCAGGCTAAAATTGAACCCAGAGAGCCATGTTAGCAAGTGTTTAGGATTAAAGTAGTGCATCACCACCCCTGGCTCCAAATCACTAAATGGTTGGCTTTTTTCTTTTTCTTTTTTCCACACAGTTTTGGGTGGTTTGTCCTACAGCTTTATTAAATAACCCTAACAATCTTTCACAGGTAACCATTGTATCATTTTATCAAGTGAATCATTTTAGTTTTAACCCCAAAAGCCTTATGTTCTCTTAAAATTAAGCCTCCTTTTTGTAACAGGAGGTTATAGAGTACTACTGAAACTAGTTATTTTCAACTACTGAGAAGTTACCTAAGATGCTCACTCCTATGGAGCCTCACCCCAATATTCTTTTTCATTTGAATCTGGTATGGAGTTTAGAAATCTACATTTAAAGATAGATACAAGTGTACTCAGCCCACATTTGGATGCTGTTCTAATAGGACAATCTAGAGCACAGCTATGAACTAAGCCAGGGCTTTAAATCTTCTCTAGTGCTGTTCTGGATAGTTTTATGTTAAGTTCTCCCCCACTCAGTAATTGATGGGAGAAAGTCCAGTGCATTGTGGATGGTGCCATCTTTGGTGGTTCTACAAAAAAAGCAGGCTGAGCAAGCCATGTTGAACCAAGTCAGTAAGGAAAACCCCTCCTTGGCCTCTGGATTAAGCCTCTGCCTCCAGATCCCTGCCCCGTGTGAACTCCTGCCCTGACAGCTTTTGATGATGAGCTACTATAAATCCTTTTCTCCCCGAGTTGCTTTTTGTCATGGTGTTTCATCCCAGCAATACTAATCCTAAATAATCATCAAGTTCCACATTCATACAAGGACATCTGTTCACCTATGTTCATAGCAGCATTATTTGTTCCAGCAATCTGCACGAGGCTCTTTCCCTTCCTTTTAACAAAGTCCTCCTTGCTAAATTTCTGTAAAAGCTACTCAGGATTTCTCAGATTCCATTGGGAAATACAGAGCACCCGCATAGGAACTGTGTTTGGTGGTACACCTGTGCTACCTGCTGGCCAAGCATAGTTATTGCAGGTAAAAATCAGATCCCATGCAGGTCTGCCAGGTCCTCTAGCACAAGGTAATAATGAGATTGATTGTTTATTAATAGGAAATGTACTAGAAGCTTCAGAATTTCATGAAAAACACCATGTTAATAACAAAGGCTTAAGGAAGGATTTTTCTATCACTTGCCACAAGCCACAAGCCAAGGAAATAAGAAATTGTCCCACCTGTTCATTCTATAATGAAACTCCATTACCAGCAGACAGTAATCCCAAAAGTATTCATAGAAATGAAATTTGGCAAATGGATGTGTTTCACTTTCCAGAATTTAGGAGCTTAAAATATATGCACCATACCACAGATAGATTTTTCAGGGTTCCAATGGGCTACTGCTCTTAGCTCTGAAAATGCTGATTCTGTTATCACACACCTCTTAGAGGTGAGGGCTGTTATGGGTATACCTGCACAAATAAAAACTGACAATGCTCCAGCATATGTCTCCAGCAAATTGGAACAGTTTTTCAAATATTATAACATAAAACATGTAACTGGTATACCTTACAATCCTACAGGACAAGCAGTGGTTGAGAGATCTAACCAAAACTTAAAAGAAATGCTCAGTAAACAGCCAGGGGGAACAAAGACCCCCAAACACAGATTACATAATGCTTTACTAACATTAAATTTTCTTAATGCTAATGAGAAAGGACAAACAGCCGCAGAAAGACCCTGGACTACAGAAAACACTTATGAACTAAATCACCAGTGTATTTCAAGGATGTTATGACCTAAGTTTGGAAACCAGGATAACAGTTATGCTGGGGAAGGGATTTTGCCTTTGTTTTTGCAGGAGAAGAAAAGCTTTGGATTCCATCAAAATTGATCAAGATTCAATCTGAACAGGAGAAACCTCGGGAGGATGAAAGATGACAGCTCATCCACAATGTCATAGTCTATGATGTGTAAGGAGACCTCACAAAAGGAAAGGGAAGTGTTTTGTTTTTTGCCTTCTCAGGAAAAACTCATCTCCAAACAGCGAGAAGATACTGAACGTGTGGACACCTAGAGAGGATGGCTACCCAAAGAATCATCAAACAAAGAAGAATCTAATGTTCGGCATCAATGTCTAATTCTCTTAACTTTGTGCTTATAATGTCTGTTTCTCTTTACTTCCTAATACTCTTTTGTTCCCAATTCACTTAAACCAACACTGACTTTGGAGTTGGATTTGGCTCTCATCCTCTAAATTCAAGCATGTTAAAATAAAATTCAGAATTTCTGTATTATATCAAGGAGCCAATTGATGTAAGACAGAAGAAAACAAAATCTAAGGACTGCCATCTGTTTATACTCGGTTCTTCTTTAAAAATCTAATTTCCCTCATATTTACTATCTGCCTTATCATTGCCTTTCCTGGTATGCATGATTATAAAAGTTGAAATTTCTCTGTTGACATAATGTTTGAGTTTTCCACAGAGAACAAAGAATTTCCTAACAGCAGTCTTCAAACACTGTGGAAAGAAAACGGGGCCCCACTTCAACGCCACCTGATCCGACTTGATACATCTGAACTGACAAGCACCACCCTGAAACCAGTTTGGGACTACATCAATCTAGACAACTCCAGATTAATTAACTGATATGGTGCCCCTTCTACACTCTGGCCAGAGCCTCAGACAAGAGTTTCAATCAAGATTAGAACTTCAGTCAAGAATTTCAATCAAGCATCTCCTGTCAAACAGAGATTGCGTACAAATGTCATAGCTAGTCCACTTGAGACTTTCACTACACTAACATTTTCTTTCTACAGGATCCCATGCATGTCATAGTCCCATTATAGCAAGAATTCTGAGAATACTATGCCCCCTTTCCCTATTGTTAAACATTACACCTGTTAGAGTTAGTTTTCAATTATTTAGGGTTGGGATTGGAAGATGTTCAGATTTTGACATCTCTTTCAGGTAAGTTTAGGGTTTAGATGGGATAGATATGCTTAGGATAGGATATAGGTAGATTATAATTCGTTTGTCATCTATGTATATATGCTTTATGTTTAAGACATTTTGTATATTGACACAAGTTAGTTTTGTTTTAAGTCTAAATCTTTTTAGACTAAAAGGGGAATTTTGGGAAAGATCTATGTACCTGTAGTGCTGACCACGCCCATTTGGGTTTGGTCACAGGTACGTAGAACGTACAGGGGATAAAAGAGCTAGGGGGAGGAGATGCTTTCTCTTTGGGTTCTGGTTGTGGCCTGGAGAGAAGCATGCAGACCTTTGGTTCTTGGCTTTCTTGGCTTCTCACATAAGTGATTTCTCCCTCAATAAAATATCATAGGACATCCCTATTTTGTGTAGCTTAGTATTTCTGCATTATACAAGGATGATCCCAGCTAACAATGTAAGCAATAGTGGAATAGGCTCTTCCCCTATAATGAGATTGATGACTACCTTATATGCCATCCTAGAGCCTTCGTCCAATAGCTGATGGAAGCAGAAGCAGACATCCACAGCTGGGCCCTGAGCTGAACTCCTGGAGTCCAGTTATGGAGAGGGAGGAGTGATGAGCAAAGGGGTCAAGACCAGGCTGGAGAGACCCACAGAGGCAGCGGACCTGAACAAGAGGGAGCTCATGGACCCCAAACTGATAGCTGAGAAACCAGCATAGGACCGACCCAGACCTCCTGAATGTGGGTGTCAGCTGGGAGGCCTGGGCAATCTACGGGGCCACTAGGGGATACATACTGATCACATAGTGGGATGCTCTCAGCCTAGACACACAGGGTAGGGCCTAGGCTCTGCTCCAAATGATATGACAGACTTTGAAGATCCCCCATGGAAAGCCGCACCCTCCCTGGGGAGCAGAAAGGGGATGGGATAGGGAGTTGGTGGGGGACAGGAGAGGAGAGGTATGAGAGGGAACTGGGATTGACATATAAAATAGGCTTATTCCTAACTTAAATAAAAAAGTAAAAAATAAATCAAGTTCATTATCCTTCTAAAGTTTTTAAGCTCCATAGCCAATAAAAACATTTGACACTTAAAGCATTTTGTTGGTTTTGCTTTATTTACTCAAACCCCTGTGTGAAACACAACAAACATTTTACAGAGAAGTGTGTAACCCATCCCTAATGGAAATGTAATTTAGTATCCCTGGATATAGACCAGTATTTTTTACATGTGAAAGACCACTTGGAGTTATGGTTTTGTTTTGTTTTGTTTTTTAATTTTTAAAGGCACATAAAGGTTCTTCAGAAATACTGCCACCAGGACCCACTTTCTGTATTACAATAGTATGACTCAATCACCAGTTTTGAATCGTTCATTCTTAAATCATTCAGAAGTTTCTTGATTTTCTTATTGCAAATGTCCTTTTTGTTCAACCTGAAAAAAAATTAACATTTTTTCCACCTTATAGAACTTCAGGAGAGGAAAAAAAAAAAGAACCTTCTTGGCTAAGGTAGGGAATTTAACATTGATGGGGAATGGAAATGAGAGATATGATGAAAGAGATGCAAAGTGAAGTGGCATGAAGAGAAAAATTACAATTACCAAGGGCTCCTGGGAGCCTTTGTCTAGGGAGGAGAATAGGCAACACACTCCTATTTACTATACTGGGCACTGTGTCAGTCCCAAGTTAACAGATCTTCATAATGATCCTATGGATAGATTTTTTTTCAACTGATCCATTTTACAGATGAGAATTCTTTACAGACACATTAGGGCATACCCCAAGTTGAACAGAGGTGGGGCCAGAACTCAAACTGAGGTGGTCTCGGTTCCAGACCAATCTACCAGAATGCAGCTGATTGATTCTGAGGGCATCAATAAAAGAATGGCTACCTAAATCCCTCAACACAGGACATATTCCATTATGAGAAAAAATTGAAAACTTACGCTAAAAACTTAATTTTGCATCTTGAAGACTTCAAGACTTTACATAGCTCTCTAATTGTGTCATAACTGAGTGCATTCTTCATTAAGTTTATTTGTACCAAACTTTGGTTTTGATAAAAAAGACTTAAGAGATCCTTACAGCAAACAGGGCTGAAACCACAATTTTCCAATCTATAGGGAAGAGAGAAAAGAGAAAAATGACTTTATTCCATGACATAGGACAAGCACTTAAGAGATCTGTGAACTCTGAAAAATGATTTTCAAAATTAAAAAGACATATGAATATAGAGTAAATCCACAGTCTACAGAAACTTAACATAATTAGAGATTTGTGTGTTAAACATACCCTTTCTGATATGAATTGCAATTGATAATCATAAGTCCATGGAATTATGCAAGAATACTACTATAAAACAGCTGAATTCAATTGTGTCTGTGTGGTTTTTTTTTTGTGCACAGACACACAAGTGTACAGGCACATGTGAGGTCAGAGAACACTTCTGTGGAATCCATTCTCTCTTTGCAGTCTGAGGATGTAGTCTGAGGAGGCAGATTGAGGACAGGATCGCCCCTTGGTCTGAGCATTGGTACAGAATTCTCTAGTGGCTGGCTGCTCTGCTTCTCTTGACCTTTAAGCATTTACCCCAACATCTGACTCAGGGTTTTTCAGTATTAAGAGCGATTAGAACTCGTGCTACAATCATTAATCAAGAAAATCAGATTCAGTGTTTAAGAGCACTAGCTGCTCTTCCAGTGAACTCGTGGAGTTCAAAGCCCAGCACCACATGGCAGCTCACAACTAATTCCAGTTCCCGGGGATCCAATGCCCTCACACAGGCATACATGCAAGCAAAACACAAATGCATATAAAATAAATTATGTATCTATAAATTATATATGTAATTCTATAAATTATGAATATATTGCATATGAATTATACAATATATAATAAAATATATATGAAAATACACAACAAATTTGCTATAAGGCCTATTCGATGGAGACCATTTTCTCTATTGAGGTTCCTCTTTTCATATAAGTACCGCGCATTAACCAATTGTGCTACTGGAGCTCCAGAGGTTCCTCTTTTCAGATAACTCTAGCTTATGCCAAGTTGACAAAATATGTAAATGAAAACACCAAACACGATGGTGGGTAATAATTTGGGCTATGCAAGCATGGATAGCCCATTTCTAATACCCAGAATGCACATTTAAAAGCCAGACATGTAACTCCTGGACTACAAAGGGCAGAGACAGGATGATTTCTGGGGCTGCTCTCACTGCTAGCCTAACTCCAGCTTCAGTGAGAGACTATCTCTGAGAGACTCACTCTAGGAAATAAGATAGAGAATGATAAAAGAGGAACGCCTGTTGTCCTCCTTTCCACATACCGCCCCCCATACACAAAGAAATTATACCTTTGTCAGGATAGTCATAATTCTTAACCATACATTTTAAACTCACTGCCTTTCCTCCAGATCAGAATAGAGGCATAATTAAATCAACCAGCTATCTGATCAAGAGTCCTTGTACAAGCCAATGATGTAGGAACTGACTAAATAACTTAAACAAAACCTTCTGCACAAGATATTCTCCCAAACCAACTAATTTTAATTGCACTTTTGCCTCTAGTTTACCCAGCCATAGAAATAATTTCATGCTTATATAGATGCTGAGAATATAAAACTGCTTCAAAGTTGCTACCCATATGGAAACCACACTAATGTGATTACACTAAAAACAAAATTCAACATGGAAAAGAGTCACACTGATTATAACACAAGGTACAGGAATCACAGCAAGTGCATTTTAAAACAGAAAGCACTAAGAGCTACCAGTAATTCATTGTGTAACAGTCACTTTAAAATTCTCAGGCTTGGTGGTACACTCCTATAATCGCAACACTAGGGAGGCAATGGCACGTGGGTCATAATGAGTTCCAGACCAGCCAAGACTACATAGTGAGATCTTGTCTCAAAACAAGCCTCCCCACACACTGTGTATAAAATAATTGTGCAGGACAAAGCTAATGCAGTAATTTGAGGGAGAACTGTAGCCTTACACATACGTAATAGTAAAGAAAAGCAAAATATAAGATCAGCACCCCACCCAAGAGTTTTGAAAAATGGGAAAATAAGCCTATGGAAAATAAAAGAGCTAAAGATTAAAGAAATAGGAAGTATCAATGTTACATTATTTAAAAATTAAATAAGATGCAAAAGATCCAATTGCCAGTATTAATAAAAGTCAGTGTATAGACTTAGAATTGTAGCAGATAAAATACTAAATAATTGTTAATAAGTTACAGCATTTAGGTAAGATGGATAAAATATATCAAAAAGGACTCACTACTGAAAACCCAAACATTTTTAAATTTAGCTCTAGAACCAAAATAATTTAGATATAAAATTAGTTCCACCAGAAATTTTTTTATTTAATTCAAGGAATAATCGTAGTCTTATAAAATTTTTCTCAAGAAACAAGGGGGATAAATATTTTTGAACTAATTTTATTAAATTAGTATAATATAAACAAAATTTAATGAGAACTGCACAAGAAATTAGAACCTAATCTTTTATAAGAAAAGATACTGAAATACGTATTTTTAGGAAAATACAAGGTATATCAAAGAAATCTCAGCCAAGTTGGTTTTAGGTCCTAAAATATAAGGATTTGGTTCTAATATAAACACTTGGAAAGTACCAAGAGGGAATAAAAGAGCTAAGATTATCTTGAAGAGGAAGATGGGAAAATTTGTTCTAGTAGGTACCAGAACTCGCTGCAAAGTTGTGTTCACTACAGTGCATCACTGAGGTAGAACTTCACACACTGGCTAATGGAGAAGGATAGAAAACCCAGACACAGATCCATACACCAGCAAAAGCATGCCTGATAGACAAGTTGTCCCTGACAAGCAGGGATGAAAGAAAAAAAAATCCTTAAATCCTGCTTGAGTAAAGAGGGTGTATAGAAAGACACTAGATTGGATCCTACTGCCAATCATATTTTAAACATGTATTTACTGTGTACATGCACATGGGGGACAGGTGTGTGCATGCCACAGTGCTCAGACCATGTGTGGCGATCAGAGGAAAACTTTCAAGAATTGTTTCTTGCCTACAACTTGGGTTCTGAGGATTGAATTCAGGTCATTGGCATCAGGTACCTGTATAGACTAAACCAGCTCGCTAGCCCTCCAACTATATTTTTAAAGGTTGATTAAAGACCCCAAAGCTTCATAATTCATGTTTGGGATTAAGGTAATTAGTGTTTCAGACTCCTGCCCACAAAGTATAATCTCTTTGACTCGGTGATCAGAGGTGAAGGCAAATTAGCAAATCTCCAAGTTGAGTAAGATATTGAACAGTCTAGGACTGAAAGAACATAATCATATAGAAAAGGACAAGAGATAACAAGCTCCTTGAGATCTTGGCATTCTACAGAAAAAGTCTTCAATTTAATATGAAAAAGTAATTCAAGGACATTTGGAATATCTGAACAATGGCAGACCATGGAGGACCCAAAACAGATTAATATTTAATATTTACCTATCTGTGGTATTGAGACAAACAACAAAGGTGAAAAGATTCTGTAACAAAGGGCATACAAACGACAGTCCCATACATTTGAAACCCAGATCCTTATTTCTCAGAGTAACTTACCTTCTACCACCATTTACTTTTCATTCCCCACATATAAAATTACCTTTACCTTCACCAACCACCAAGCAAACCTTATTTTTCCAATAAGAAACTGAACTTACCCGAGCCTTTGAATACGGCACTTTGGATTTTTTAAAGCTTCACACAGAATATGCAGGCCAGCATCCATTAAGTTGTTGTTCGCAAGGTCTAGGCTCCACAGGTTTGGGTTGTTCACAATAACAGAAGCCAGATCCAGACAACCCTCACTCGTGAGAACACAGCCCATCAACCTACAGGAAATATATTAGAGGAGGAAAGAACTATTCAGTAGCAAGACTGAACTAGGTTCTTCCAGAAAATGACTGCCTTCACTATGATACCATATCAACATATGGAATATACTCATCATTAGACTTTATTTTTATGTCATCTGCATTTCATATCACTGGATAAGAGTGTCACCTTCATGTCTCTCAGCATTAGACTCCCCTTTTTAAATTCCCAATTCTTATAACAGAGAACTAAATGACTTCCCTAAGGCCTATGTATTAAGGTGAGAAGCAGAGCAAAGGTCTTACATATACTGGTCTCTTAGAAATTCTGTTTTTGTAGTCATAAAAAGGCATTAGGCTTAATAATTGTATCCATTAAGTAAGCCATTACAAGTTGAGAAAAGATCAAGGAAATTCAGAGTAGCCCACATGTATACCCTATCCTGAAGGATGTGAGGGTGGGTGCTTGTAAGAAGTCAAAGGAAACTTATTTGAGAAAAAACCTGAAATTAGATACTTAAAATGTCCAAGGTGAGGCAAAGCATAATGGTAAAAGGGTGTGGTAGGTAATATGTCTTAAGAATTACACTATTATATAGAGAATATTACCCTAAGAAACAGAGAAGGTAAGGAACGTACAGGGGGAAAGGTTGCTTCCTCCAACCAGGCTCCACGTGGGTAATGTTTCTTTCTATCACTTCCCCAGAGAACCTCCTGCTAATGACCGAGATTTCAACATCTAAACTTTTGGAGGAACATTCCAATTTCACACTGTAACAATTTTCGTTATTCCGTTCAGTGAGGACAACACTTCTGTGGATGTCAAGAACCTTAAGTTAATAGTTTAAGCAATGCTGGGCTTATGGGGCTGAAAGATGGCTTAGTGATTAAGAGCACCATCTGCTCTTCCAGAGGACCTAGGTTCATTTCCTGGCACCCACATGGATGCTCATAGCCATCTGTAACTCCAGTTACAGGGCTCAAACACCCTCTCCTGTCTTCCATAGATATCAGGTATACATGTGGTACAAAACATCCATACACAAAATAAATGATGGATTTATATGTCTAAGAACTCAATCAAGAAAAGCTCTAGTGGGGAAGAAGGCTGAGATTGCTCACCTCAGTCTTATTCCACTTTGGACTTCATATTACATGGGGAAGTATTAAATATCCTAAGGCATTGAAGCAATCCATGGGATGATTTAAAGTAAAGATCTCTGGAATAGTACCAAGTAAAAGGAAACCTCAGTTCTTGTCTATGCATCATCAAGTAGCATGTATATAAGCCACGCATATGTGTGCCTATTTGCTCACAAAGGAATGAAAATGGCTTGTTGTAAAACTGGACTTTAGGTCAAGGAAGTGGTGTCTTCCTGTATCAAGTGCTCAAGAAACAGACAGGAAAAGGTGGTTACTTTGAAGATATAGCCTGGCTGCACAGTGAGACTCTGTCTCAAAACTATAATTCAAAATTAGCTGAAAAGTTACCTGGAAAGTGCATTATAAAAAGGGAGATAAGAGATTTCAGGACACATAGGAATAGGAATCAGGAAGCAGGGACTAACCAGGGGAAGCAAGGAAACTAACTGGAATAAGTATAGGGCATTAGGGGGGACCAATGGGGGCAAGGAAACAAATGAAAACAGTATAATGACATATGTATGGAGAAGAACCCCCATTACTTTGTATGGAAACCTAAAAATTTACCTTAAAAGCTAATTGTAGGATTAAAAAGAAAGATATAAATTCTAATCTCAAAAAGTTAAAATCCCTTCCAGCTTCTTTGAATACTGACCTAACAGGAAAATTAGTTTAAATATAAACCTGAGGGCTGGAAAGATGACTCAGTGGTTAAGAGCACAAGCTGCTCTTCTGGAGGACTTAATTCAATTACCAGCAGTGGCATGCAAGCTCACAACTGTCTTTGTCCCAGTCCCAGGGGATCTAGAGTCTTCTGGCTTTTGTGGGCACCAAGCACACACATCCAAGCAGGAAAAACATCCAGCATATAAAAATAATAACATGGTAATTTAAAAAATTAAATATTGTTTGAAAAACAAACTGGAAAGGAAAGCTAGTAGAAGTTAAGTTTTGTGGATATAGTCAGACAACAGATCTGCTAGGGCACAATCAAAACTAACATGACTCCTGTTGAGTCTGATGCATCTGGACTCTTTACCCCAGGGAAACGGATCATGGCACCACAGTTATCTGTGGCTTTCAGTTTTGGTTCCAACCAGTCTTCTTTAGCTTGGCTTCAACAGAATGAGAGAAAAGTCAGGTCTGTCCTCTTTATCCGGCACATATCTCACTGAGTTCTTCCTTTCATCTCTCCCCTGCCCTCCAAAGACAGCTCCCAGTTCAGAAGTACAGGACAATAGAGTCACAGAAAACCTACTCGAGTTCCTGAAGAGTGCAGGTTGGATCCTGAAGAGCACGACACAGAAACTTTATTCCACTGTCCTGAACCCTGTTTGATCCGAGGTCCAGATGTATCAAACTCCTGTTTTTTTTAAGAGCAGTGAAGAGAAACTCACTACCAACCTGAGAGAAATCGCAACCCCTCAACCTACAAGGAAGCACAATATGAGGAAACATTCAGTTAGTCTCTATCATCCATGGAAGGTCTCATACCTGTTGAGATCAGATCAGACCTCTATTGCCAGCCTGTTCCATGTGAGTCACTTAGGTCTATATCAAACTGTTGTAAATTGGACTCACAGCCAATTCCAATGTCTGTTTCCAGTTTTTGGAAACGGGATCTCAACTCTGCAGCACAGGCTGGTCTTCTCACTATAGCACAACTCAATTGTCCTGCTCAGTTTCCCTAGTTCTAGGGTTGCAGGTGGGAACCACACCTGTCTCAGCTTTTCATACTACAAATCAAGCAGCAATCTCGTTGTTTTCCTAAAAATACATACAGGACCTCTTGCAGAAGTAGTTACATGGACTAGAGGGGCAGGCATGAGGAGTGCAATAGGAATAAGCTAAGTATTCTTTGTATTTACTAGTGACATTTTTAATCAGTAAAGATACATGTGGGGATGGGAGTGGAGATTGGGTGGCAGACTGGGGGGCATAGTGGGGGGTTGGGGGGAGGGGAGGGAGAGGGAGCTGGGATTGACATGTGAAGCAAGCTTGTTTCTAACTTAAAGAAAAAGACATGTTGTATCAATACTTTTGATATAACATGCCTTACATATGGGGAAATAAGTATAACCCTTACAACAAAACTAAAATGTTAAATTCAGGATAAATTTGGAACACTTTAGCATGTTTAAAAGTCAAAATTATGAGATGGTAAAATTGCATTTCAAAAAAGGCACTTCTAGTTATGATAAAAAATCTTAGGATTCACGAGGCAGAATGACTTGCAAAAAATTTATATATCTGTGCTGCGTTAATGTAGTACATGCCTGTAATCCCAGCACTTGGGAGACTGAAGCAGGAGAATTGCCAGATTCAATACTAGTCTAGACTATATAGCAAATTCAACACTAGTCCAAGTGACACAAGAGCATACCTTAAACAATTTGAAAATTTAATAATCTGTAAATTACCATAAAGTTAGAAATAAAGCAACAAGCTAGGTGATTATCTTTAGTATATAAAGCATGTATGATAATAATCAAGTATGACATAGAAAACATCCAGAAGAAACTGAACTCTTTGAAGAAACAATTCCTAGACTATATAAAGCTCTAAATATCTGCAAACATGCTAAGTCATTTAAAAGGCACATTTTAAGATTTTATTTTAATAGTGTGTATGTATATGCATATGCAAACATGGATATGCATTCATTCTGAACTACGTTGTATTGGGAAGATGGCAGACACTCACACAAGGCTCTGCAGAGTGCACTGTGGATGTTTCAAGGCATCGCTGAGCAACTTTATGCCCTCATCTTTCAAGAAGTTGTTTGCCAAGCATAAATGTGTCAGTCTCTTGCTTTTGGTGAGAGCCAAGGAAAGAACCTCACACACAGCTTCTGTGAGGCCACAGCTTGCTAAACTGAAGGAGAAACAGATGCAAAAGGACCCACTCATCAGTTTCCAACCGTCTTGCTTTACCTTATAAGGAAATTATCTGATACTTATACCAGTCACTTTTTCTGCAGAATCAACCTGGGTAGACATTTAAGTTGTGAATTCCATTGTAGCTTGGTACAGGAGAGAATGAAACAAAACTGGAGAAGTCTAGAAGAATTTGAAAACTAAAAATAGGACAATTATTTTAAAAACTAAGTCCCCCCTCACACACACACCCCAAGCTCAGGAAATAGTCAAATTGGTAAGTCCTTGTCACACAAGCATGAGGATCTCCAGGTTTGATTGTCAGCACCATGTAAAAAGAATGTGGCTCTAAACCCATTTCTGGGAGGTTGGAGACAGGGAGATCCCTGGGATTTGTGCTGATCAGTCAGCATAGCCTATTCATCGAGTTCCAAGCCATGACAGACGGTCTCAAAAAAAAAAAAGGTGGATTCTGAGGAACAATACCCAAGGTTGACCTCTTAGGTAATGACCTCCACATACACAGACATGAATTTATACATAGTACCTGTGCAAACACAAGTATTGAAAATGCCTCCCCATGTAACACACACAGACACACACACACAGGGAAGTAGGGGAGAAGGGAGGTGGAGAGAGAGAGAGAGAGAAGGAAGACAGAAGAAGCAGGGAGGGAAAGGAAGAGGAGGAGAGGAGAAACAGAGGCCGAGACAGACAGAGAGGCAGACAAAGAGGCAGAGACAGAGGGCACCTGTGTGCATGAGGGGGTGGGAGGGAGGCACAGAGACAGAAGCCTGGAAAAGGGACATCTGGACACATAGCCTAGTTGGTATTGTATGCTTACCATATTCAAGGTTCTGGGTTTAATCCCAGGACCAAAAGAAAAACAAAACAAAACAGAAAAAGTGAGTACAGGAAGAACTCTGAGGATCACTCAGAACTGATAACCATGCCAGCTAATGTTACCCCACATATCCCTATCTACTTCATAAATTATAGGAAAACTAACTCACGACAGTCTCTCTAGGCGACAGTTGGGGTTTTCAATGATCTTACACAGTGACTGTCCCCCGTTATCTGTCAGATTGTTGGTAGACAGATTGAGAAATACCAAGCTCCTACTCCTGTTGAGGGCATCTGATAGTTTTATGCAATGGATTGCATTCAGGGCACAGGATTCCAACCTGAAAAGCAATACAGAGACGGTAAAATGACACATTTCGCAGAATCACAGCCTCTGCTTACTCAGCCAGAGGCAGGCAGTCTCCCACTTTTGGAGATCTTGGCTGAAAATTCAGCTTCCCTACATAAAACAAAATATTTAATAGCACATGACCCTGACAGAGTGCTAAGTGGGATGAAGAGGAATCACCTTTCTCATCCCTCAGAGCCTTAAAAATAGGAAAATAATTTTAAATCCACTAATATTTTTCATCAAGAGGAGAGAGGAGTTTCCTCCACCTACAACTCAGAAGATAAAAGTATGATTGCTGTGTTTTAATGTTGTACACAGATTTGTAGAGCAAAGGTCAACCACAAGTCAGGAGCCAGAGTCTCCCATGGGTTTTTATTCACAAGTCAATCCACATTTTTTTTGTTTTTACGAGACAGGGTTTCTCTGTATTGTTTTGGAGGCTGTCAGTCCAGCCCAGCCTCGAACTCAGAGATCCGCCTGCCTCTGCCTCCCAAGTGCTGGGATTAAAGGCGTGCGCCACCACCGCCTGGCTAATCCACACTTTCTAAAGGACCTAAGTTGGCTTTAATAATAATAAAAGCTTTATTGTAAAAGAATTTGTACATAAAAGGAAACATCACCCAGTGAGGTTAGTTAGATCCAAGTTCTTTATATCTCAGTGAACCTCCAGAGTTAGAATAGGTTTTAAGAGTGAATCCAAGGGGACACTGCTCAGCTGGCAGAGTGTTTGCCTAGCATGCACAAAGTCATGGGTTCTATCCCCACTACTGCATTATAAAATAGAATGAGAATAAGAAGCAAATCAGAAACAAAACTGCTTCTGAAAGAGAGTGCACATGTGGGGTCCTTCTAAAGACCTGCACAGAAGCCTGTGCAGTGATGACAGGGCTGTGTGCCCAGGCACGTGTAAGAGTGACAGAGCATTCTAGGCATGCCCTTTATTTTGTTGTCACATTTTTAAAAGCAGAGCCCACATCCCAAGCCTTCAAGTAGTACCTTTTGACTGGCTACTGGGTTCCCTTCATCAAAAGTCAGGGTTTGTATCAGTGGGAACAGGAGCAACTCTGTGTCATCCTACTATTTGTCACTGTGACAAAATAACTAACAACTAAGTGGACTAAGATTTGTCTTGTTTGTGATTTCAGAAGATTCAGTTCATCATGAGAGGGAGGGTGTGTCTAGTGGCCAGGAAGGAGGGGGAGGAAAGAATGGGGTAAAAGAAAGGAAGAAAGGGAGAGAGAAAGAGGGATAGAGGGACTCATGTAGCTTTGGTTGGCCTGGAAAAGGATGGCCTTACCACTCAGAGATCCACCTGCTTCTGATGGGATTAAAGATGTGTACCTCTATACTAGGTTTTCTCTGAATATTTTGGGAACCAACCTGTTATGAAATATACAAATAAAACACCTACTAAGAGAAAGACCTAGTCTTTCTCCTCTTTAGATAAAATTTAATTATAGCGAAACATTCCCGTGAAAGTTACTGATAATGTGTGCCTTTTCAGTATGTCCAGGTATAAGATCTGAAATACTCCTCTAAAATTTAAACTTTTCTAGGATATTTTATCTCTACATTTGCAAACTTCTTACAATAAAGGATCCTAGTTAGCAGAGAAGCCTGGAAAGTACTGCTTTCCAACATTTTCATGACTCACATAATAAAATCAGAGTAAAATAGCAAAACGCAATTCTAAAATGTTCCTCTCAGCATGATCTATGCACAAACCAGATCAAAGGGACACACATACTGTCCAAATCTAATGAGATCCAGAGAAAACAGGAAGTTGGATACCATCCTACACAATCTATTTAGATGAGGCCTACAAGACTAGTGACTATAATACCCATGTGACTACCTGCATTAGGGGAACAATTGCACTTCCATAATGTACTGTTTTATTATTGCAAATTTAGATAACTTCTGACAGAACAGTCACTGTTGGCCCTATTAAGTTATGTCACAAAGTTTCCCACTTGAAAACTTACTATCTAGATCTATATCAAGCATCATCAATAGAAGACATTCAAATCTCAACAGAAAGGCGGTCTTATCAAGTCCTGCTGCTTTTAGTGCCGAAGCTTTTTAGATCTACAGCCAACACTGTAAGAACATCTTTCCTACCAAATAACACCAGATTTTTCTGCTGTTGATATTTCATTTTTAGACACAAGAACCAGTGGCATGCATCTCACTTGACATCCAGATAACACAGGTTTAATCCTAAATCTACTTGCCTGCTGGTTCTATCTCAACCTGATCAACTTACAACTGTATGCAACCCATATTCAATAATTGCTCATCAACTTCTGAGATGTGCCACATTAAGCGAATTTCAGCTTTTAAAACCCGGCTAAGACTAAAAAAAATTCCCAGTGGTCACAGAATTTACTTTCCTATTTTAAAAACCAGGTCTTACTCCAAGTTTTGTTACTTCTCTAGTACCTGGATTTTAAGACTTTATGTGTGGGAAGCAACTTACCTTAGCGCTTCATGCAATAAGGTTCAGTTTTGACTCAAAGATTGTCCAGGAATTATAAGAATTTAAGAAGAATCTATTTTTCTGATTTTGTGTGTGATAAACTAACTGACTCACTAGGTGATAAGAGTTTCCTTAAAAGCTGTCATCCAATGTACAGACCAGGTATAATGCCCAAGGCTCTCCTACTCCTAAAGAGCAACTGAGGGCCATGAATAAGAGGGACACTGCATGACAGTGAGTGCACACCTTGGCAATTGACAGTTGCTACACTGTTCTTTCTCAGCCTTCTAGGCTTGGTTCTGAGCCACAGTTAAAGAGAATAGGAATTCATTAATCAATAATCAAGTACAACACAGCTTTCTCTGATGCTGTTTTTTACTGCCATTAGTCAAAGACACAATATACCCCAGACCTGAATAAAAATGTTAAATGTTCATCAGTTCTTGGTCTGTCCCCTCCTTTCATTTGGGAGACACAGAATTATACAATGACATATTTTATGAGGAATGAGTGAGCAGCCTTACTGAAGAAAAAATTAACTAGGAAAAGTAGGCTTCCACTAACTATGCAGCACTATGAACACCAATTTCAGATTTCACCTTTTGTCTATTGGGCAGACAAAAAGTTATAAAGAAAGCTCAAGCTTACCTCAGCACCCGTAATTTACATTTTTGGGATTGCAAGGCTTCACATAAGCTCCTTAACCCATTGTCTTCTAAGTTGGCATCTTTCAGGTCGAGATGTGTCAGGGTATGGCAGTTAGTTAAAAAGCGAAAATCCTGACAGCTATTCAAGAAGCAGACAGATCCTAACCTTCAGAAGAAATATATAGAGAGTAGTTATACAATCATCTCTACACATAGTTTTATCATCCCCTTCCAATTCTTACTCTCATCTCTTATCTGAATCCAAGTTTCTCACACTGTAGGTAAGGTGCCCAAACACAGTTTCAGAGAACTATTGAGAAAAATACAACATATGTTTGGATTTGTCACCTGACCAGTGGTGTTCTCATTATTTTGACCTCACAAAATGGTAACATCGGGAAAGGTACAGAGAAGCCTCTGAACTTTTAGGAATGACTACCACAGTTATCAAGGTCCCTACAAATACTTCAATGACAATATTAACAATACTTAAGTTCTTTCCATAATCAAAAGTGAATGCACAATTAAAATCAGCTATCAGATGTATGTCATTATGAACATAACACTGTTGCAGGCATGATGCGATTCTGTGCTTATATACAGAAGCAGTATAGAGAACAAATACAAAGGTCATCTTCCAACTTTTCTTCACTTCCTTCTAACAGCATTTGTATTTCACATACTTGATTCTCCTGCAGTATCTGGCCTGGCCCTGAATTCAACCTCATACTGTACCCCAACTACTACCCCTGGAGAACACTTCCCTCCTTTTCAGCTCATTACTTAGCATTCCCCCTTCCTCCATACCTTTATCCCCAAGGACCCACAAAAAAGACTTTTACCCATTTACAGAGCTAACCATCATAAATATAAGTTGGAAGCAATTGTTTCAGGGGAAAGGCATTTAAACATTAAAGAGCCTAAGACTGAGGTCACCATGGTGTCATCTCTTGGAGGGATTCTTCTGTTTAAAAGACACCATTAGCCAAAAGGTAGCATTAGTTAATATTTGCACTAGTGACATTTGGGGAAAGACAATATGAGGGAGATGCTTAGAAAGGAGTGGAAAGATCTCACATATCCAGTGGCCTCTCCTCATCTACAGGTTTAAGTGATGCTTAATCTGAGGCAAGAGCTCACAATGAGATTTTTTTTTGCTTTGTTTTTTCGAGACAGGGTTTCTCTGTGGCTTGGAGGCTGTCCTGGAACTAGTTCTGTAGATCAGGCTGGTCTCGAACTCACAGAGATCCGCTTGCCTCTGCCTCCCAAGTGCTGGAATTAAAGGCATGAGCCACCACTGCCTGGCAACATGAGATTTTAAGGGAAAAATTTGGCAGGAAGTTACTCTCTAATACAACATCTATTTTGGTGATATTAGGAACAAGGATGTATACTTTGTTTGGTGCCAAGTATATACAACTAACCAGAAAATAGACATTAAGTACATGATAGGCATTAAATAAAGAGGAACATATAGATGGTTCTAGTTCCCAGGAGAGCCAACAGCAAGTGATATGCAAACATGCATATTTGAAGTGGAGAGAATCTGGCATCAAATTCAGATTTTAGGACTGACAACAGTAAACATGGGAGCAGGTGAGCAGCAGGTGGAGCATTCACATACTATAGGCATAACTGTGTTGTAAAACTGCTTAGCATATTCTTAGCAAACATATCTATGGACCAGATAACTCATATTTTTACCAAAGAAGTTTAAAACCTCACAAAGAGCTAGATACTATTCACAGCAGCCTTATTCACAATAACTGAAATTTGGGGGTGGGGGAGCCACATGGGAGTTTTATTAACAAGACAATGAACTAAAACTTGCAATATAGCCACACAATGCAACGACAATGCCTATCAACAACGAAAACAAACTAGCCAAACACACAAAGAAAGTTCTATAACATTTTATTGAAAACAGACACAAATGCATAGTGTGTTAGTTAAATGGTTCCTATAATGAAACAAAGCAAGCTAGATTAGAAAATGATTGAGTGACATGAGAGCACTGAATAGGAAGGCGTAGATGGAACATCTTCATTGGAATGTTCTACCTTATTTTGAGTGCTGCCTATAAAGATGTTTATGATTTCCATTAAACTTGTTACATTTAATAATTGATTTTATCAAATATAAACAGTTCAAAAGAAAATAAATATAAAATTCTGTGTCATGTCTTTGTAAGTACTTTTGTGACCTAAATTTAAGGTCTTAGTTCTATGTCATGCTTCATCTACAAAATTCCTAATGGAGTCTCAAAACCACGTGCCAACAGCTTCTACAACCATTGCCATCTTTCTCAAAGCAAATGAAATCATGCTCCCATATCTTCAGGCATCTCAGTTTTCACTTTCTTGGAATGTTTTGCACAATGATGGTATATATAGCCACATATCACTGAATGAAAAAAGATTTTATTTTATATCACTTTGTGACTTTGACCTTGTGCAAACAGGAAAGACTGTCTGTACACGTACTAACATGGATCTGGGTCACTAGGCAACAGGGTGTTATGGGACCACTATTGTCCCTCATTGACCAAAAAGTCTTTGTGTCAGATAGCTGCTTCTACTTTTACTACTGATTTCCACTAACAAGTAAGGGTGAAAGACATAGCAAAGAAAAACAAACAAAAACAAAACAAACAGACAACAAAAATCAATGGGAATACTCCATTAAAATTTCGCAGGTGCCTGGCAGTGCTGGCTCATGCCTTTAATCTCAGCGCTCAGAGACAGACCAGAGAGGATTTCTGAGTTGGAGGCCAGCCAGGGTTACCAAGAGGAAATCCTATCTAGAAAAACTGCGCACACAAAACAATTCCCCCTGTAAGACTTACAGTAGTTTTTGTAGTTTACATCTTGTGTGACTTAATTCTTCATTTAAAATCTTCATCAATGATTCATCAAGTCTGCTTTCATACAGATCCATTTCTCTCAGGCATTCATTTTTATGAAGCACAGAAAACAGATCTTGCCAGTATTTCATGATTCGAGCAACAGTATCCTTGAGGCTGTGTAATTGGAAAAAGGAAAGACCAGCCACCTTTGACTTAGAAGATGCTATTGGATAAAAATATGCTATGAAAGAACATTAGGTGCATTTTTTTCTATGGATAGTCCGCCAGACATCTTCTCTTTTGTCATCTATTTTCTCAACATGTATGTAACAAAAACTAGAGACTTCATTTTGGAGGGAGAACTGCAGGATGAAAAACTCTGCTCTACATATCTGTGTATATGTTTTTATTTTTTATTCTTTTGAGACAGGGTTTCCCTGTATATCCCTGGCAAGTCTAGAATTTGCTACATAGACCAACCTTACCTCAAATGAATAGATATGCTTCTGCCTCTGGAGTGCTGAGATTAAAGGTGTGGTCAACCACATCCAACCTTATGTGTTTGTTTTCCTCAAGGTGTGCATGTGTGTGTATGCACTCATATGTGGAGGTCAGAGGGCAACCTCAGGTGTTGGTCCTCATGGGTAGTACTTTGTTTCTGAGACAGGTTTTCTGACTGGCCTGGAAACTTCCAAGCAAGTTATGCTGGCTGGCAAAGTGAATTCCAGGGACCTAACTGACTCTCCCTCTCCCAGCACTGGGATTACACATGCATATCACTCTGCAAAGATGTGTTTAGGTATTCAAATGTCTCAATGCATTTACAGTCTGTTGAGAGAATCCTTTCCGCCAGCCTAGTTCCAGAGCCGCATCAGTCCCAAATAAACACACAGGAGGCTATATTAATTATGAAGCTGTTGGCCTTGCTTTTTCTTACTGGCTAGCTCTGACTTAAGTATTTACCCCATAATTGTTAATCTAAGTATTTCTCTTACAGGAGCAAAGTTTCCGGGCTTCTTATCCCTATGGCAGCTACATCTTGACTCTCTATGTTTCTCCTACCCAGTGTCCTCCTGGACTCCTAGTCCCACCTATCTTGCTTCCCTATTGGCCAACAGTGCTTTGACATATACACAGGACTTCCCCAAAAAACCGTCTTAAAGCTTTACCAACTGAACTATCTACCCATCCTTCTGTATGGTAGTGAAATTGAAGTGCAGGAGGCTGGTATGTCACTTAATGGTATTATCTAGCATGTGTTAAGATGGTGAGATTTTTGAGTTCCAGCTTTGGGAAAGGAGAGTGTAGTGAATGATGCTGCAGAGTGGTGGACTATGACTTGAGGTTTTATTTTGTGAAAAACATTCAAGAGGTTCCTATATACAAATATCTTAGACATATAGTAAGCCATAATGGAATAGAGGAATGAAATTATGTTCTCTTAACAGAAGAACTCTCTTCCAATTATGACAATGGAATAGTTTTTCCAACAGAAAAGTTGAAAGTCAAAGACTTCTATATAATCTGTACATATAATCTGTATATATAATCTGATGGTGACCTCAGTCTTGCCTACCCCTTCATACAAACTCAGCTTTTTCATAAATCAAATTGAAAAAGATAACATCTACCCCCATAGGACCAGTAGGAGATCAAATACATCATACATCAAAAATGACTGGCACCTATATGAGCAACAGTCAGTGCATAATAGTTACTGTTCAACATATGTTTGAATTAATAATTATCTACTTATTTTCTAGAAAAACACCTATATATCTCAGTTGTGGAATCTTTGAAATTGTAACTTCATAGGTAGTTACCTATGTAAGAGTTCACAATTCTGTAGGCATCAGAATTAAATTGGCTAATATGTTAAGCATCTTGCTCACTATATAACTATGAAACAGAATAAGTCCTTAATATTAGTTAGGTATAGAAATTCTGTAATTCAGGTCTTCTTACAGGTTTAGATAGGAAGAATCAGAAAAAAAAATCAACCTGATGAAAGGAATAAGGTAAAATCATATATAAAACAGCAGAGTTTAGGAGTGTATAGGACAGATGACCTATATATATTAGCTTCAGCAAGAGATTTCTAGATGGATTTTTCTTAAAATAATTATTTTACCTTAGTTAAGCACTGTTTCCTTCTGTAAATCTTCTTCCTTCCCTACTAGTAAACTGGGCACTTACCAAGTTTCAGCTGTGGGGTTTAAGTCCAAAAGATTTCTTAACTCTGCCACTGCAGTCAGTTTAATAGTTTCCAGAGAGTAGCAGTACTTAAGGCAGAATGAATATATAAGTAACTGAGTTTCTTCCTCAACCCTCACATCAATCCTTGTGAAATAGTTCAGTGCACGAGTTATGAAGTCTCTATCTTGAGTCTCATATAGACAGGGAAGCAAGTCTGGAAGTGTCAGCGGTGACGGATTGATGTCATCTTTTTCTAGTGTTTCCAAACACATAAGTAACTCCACTTTGATGTCCATGGATATTGTAAATTTGAAAGTTTCCTCCAGTTGTCGTACTCGGTCTTTATTCAGTAGACCAAACATAAAGCATTTCATCTGCTCCAAATGAGGGTTGTGAAAACTATTGCTTTCAAGCAATGAATACAAGTCTTCAAAAGATTTTCTGGGATAGTCCCTTTTTTCTGGATTCTGTATTAACAAGTAGAACAAAGCCGCAAAAAACTCCTGAACATGGAAGTGAGTGAAAGCATAGCAATTTTCATACTCTTTGTCCTCCTGAAGCACATTTACATTCAGGAAAACTGAGAGGTCATCTCTAGTTAACTCATTCTTTCTAAGATTTTTCTTGTAGAGTATGTATTTCATAGACCAAATGCCTTCAGCAGCTGCCTGGCACAGGCTCCTCAGTAGTGTTTCATTGGGCAGAGTAATACAGCTCTCATCCACCTGTGAAAATAAGCTGCAGATATAGTATGTAAACAGAGCTGTTGTGGTCTGGCAGATGTCTGCAATATTACCACCTTTCTCCATTTGCTCCTTCAGACAAGTACAGATCACCTGACACATGTGGTAGACATGGCACATGTTGAAAAGCCTCTCATTTTTTCTTATTGAACAGATCGCATCCATAGCCCATGTCTTATCTTTCAACAAATGGTGAATGTAATCCATTCTTGAAATCTTAGACAGTCCTGGCAGGTTTACACAACGAGGGTTATGCAACAAAGGCATCAGTCTCTTCCAAGCTGTGGATCTTGTTGTTACTACTAAGAATGACTCAGGAAGCATCACTTTCCTCAGCAAACTGCTAATAAGAAAGGACACTGGGTGCTTCTGGTTCCAATCTGAACATAGTGCAAACTCTGGCTCTTCAAAGGAGAAGTCCAGCTCATCAAAACTATCAATCATAAAAAGGAGATTTCTGGGCTCAGACAGAATCTCTTCAATGGGGCCTTCAGAGCTAGGCCAGTTGTTGGATATTAACTCAACAAAGCTTTTCTCCTTTGATTGGCTAACTTCTTTCCCATTGAGATAAAAAACATAACTATACTGCTGGCAGATATTGCCATCTGCCCATTCTAACATTGCCTTTCTCAACAACGTTGTCTTCCCAATTCCAGCAGCTCCCTGAAGGATTACTGTTTGTGTGAACGTGTAAATTTTGATATCCTCAAACATACGTGTCAACAGCTTTTGGTCTTTATGAGTAATTCCATGATTTAAAATTGCAGATTGGCCAAAATAAGAGCTCTTATCCCATGTAATATAAAACTTTTCCTTTATTATAGTTCTGTAGTCTGCTCCATCATCTAAGTCAGTTAGAAAAGAACCAAAGACACACATGATCAAAACTTTGAATTCTGTTTAATTTCAGCATTAAGATTCTCACTGCCCAGTCATCTCCTTCTCTCTGCCCATCCCTCCTCATTTCTCTGTTTACCCCCTCCGTTTCTCTCAGACACAGAGGTATTAGGAACTGAACCCAGGTCTTCTGGGTGAATGTGTGGGTGACAAGCACTCTTAACTACTTAGCTATCTCTTCACCCTCCTAGACTAACTTTTGAATAGGCATTTGTAAATACTGTTTTCTTGATGTCTTGAAGTCAGTATGGTTTTGATTTTGACTTTGGTCATAATACAGTTTTATTAACTTTGAATGATTGAGAACCGTGGTTCACTGGCAGTAAATTGTTCAGGTAAATAACGGTCCTTAGGGACTAACCCTGCCACCATAAAGCTACAAGAACATACAAAAACTGACCAAAGACTTTGTCCTCAGACAGCATTTCCTCCTCAGGAACTTGGTCTCCCATCATCTCAACATCCTCTGGCGTCATGATCTTTGCTGTCTCTGCAACAGGTTCCAAGAACATCATGAGATTTACAAGAACTAGAGCTTTAGAAGTGGTTAGAACGGGGGCCAGAATTCTTCTGCACTGTGATGTTATGACCATCTGGGTTTTGTAAAACTAGAACCGAGAACTTTAAGCTGTGGCAGGTTAGCCAAGGGGAAAATGTGTTACAACACTGGGATGGACCTCTTGTCCTCTCTGTGCTCTACCACCAGGCATGAAGTTCCCTTGCAAGTTCTGACTTCAAAGGGATAGAAGTGGAGTTCAAAGGAGATAATGTGCATGTACCCGTACACACACACACACACACACACACACACACACACACACACACACACACTATAGTCTTACATCTAAGATTTCACATAAGAATCACCAACAGTACTTATTTGAGTTTGCCTTTTTAGCCCATTACTCACTTTCAGCAAATATGTTGATCATATCTGAGATGCTTCAAAATTTTTGACTTGATTTCTAGGTTAGGCACGGGTACATTCAATTGGAATCACTCAATTTCTTAGATCATTTTAGAAGGTATATGCAGATGGCTCATTCCTAAGACCTAGTCAGAGCAACAGCATTCCACCCTGTTCTGCTTCTTCAATGTTTGTCAAATGATCCAGTGTTCCCAAGAAAACAACTGTGCCTACTTGCAGATAGCTCCTGAGCATCACATTTGGACTCTGTTTTACTCTTCTTACACATATCCCTCAGGTTCATCTTGCTAAATATTTTGAGGGCCACATTCCAGGCCTGCCCTCTTGGATAGTTTTTGCTTATCAAGTAAGCCAGTTTCCTCCCACTTGGCCTTCAGTGAGGCCTGGGGTTTACATTCACCTTTAGGAGTAATTCGAATTTGTTTAATCCCTCATTGTTCTGCTAAATCAAATAAAACAGCCCAAATTCAGAAAAGGAAGAATATAGCATCAATGTGTCTGAATTCAGTTTTGTGGGGGAAAACTAATTTTACTACAGAATTAATGGCACCCATGGAAGAGTGTGAGTAGAAAATTAACTCTATACATACAGATTAATCCAACATATATTTGCTGTGATCCACTGTATAGGCTCAGTAGTGACCTCAAATATTCCATATGTTCTATCATAAAAGAGCCCTTGCCCTCCAGATAGAGAAGCAGGTAGATTAACTGCAGATTTTTACCTCTTCCTCTTCTCTAAATCGAATTCCCCCAGTCTCATCCCCAGCTCTGTATCTGACTACCTGCTGTGGCATGCCCTTCCTTCCTGCCTCCATCTCCAGGAGAATCAGAAAGATCTCCAACCTTCCTCCCCACTCATCTGTTAACCTAGCCTACAACTCCAGCAGGCATTCCCTGGGAAGCTTCCAGCTAAGAAGCAAGTAGGCCAGTGAAGCAGGCAGTCAAAAGCAGCAGGTCTTCACTCTCCTTCCTCTCCCCTATATCCAATCCCACAGTTTCATATCCATCTTGTTAGCAGATAACCTCTTATGTTCTCTCCTTACTCTCTTCCCCATTCCCAGAGGACTACAGTAGATCCTGGTGGAACACTCTGCTTTCCCCTCCCATGGAGCCCATTTTGCACCCCCCACCATCTCATCCTAATTCCTAAGTTTAGTTCCAAATACCTAGAAACAAATTTTACTCAGATCTCCAATCTACCCAGTGGCAGGATCTGAGAGGAATTCCTTACCAGGAAACAGTCAGTCACCACATGCTCCAAAGAAAAGAGAGGTCAACAGTAACGAAGGAACAAAACAGCCATCCAACAAATCAACACCAGGTATCTGCACCTAGAATCTCAATCAGCTCAGACCCAGATTCATAGACTGTGGCATGAAAAACACAACCAATAACATTCAGGACAATTATGTCTCCACTAGATCCCAGCAACCCCAATATAGCAGGCGCTGAAGACTGCAACACAAGGCAAAGACCTTAAAAAGCAGCTTTATGAAGGAATAGAAATCCTAAAAGAGAAAAAGAAGAACACCCTTAATGAAATCCATGAAAACCAAAGAACAGTGGAAGGAAGTGAACAGTCTAAGATCTGAACATGGAAATAGAATCAAAGAAAACTCAAACTGAGGGAAATCTGGACATGAAAAACTTAGAAACTCAAGCATTAGAGGAAAGCCTCATCAACAGAGTAAAAGAGATAAAAGAGTATCTCAGGCATTGAAGACATGGTAGAAGAAATGGATACCTTGGTCAAAGAAAATGTTAAATCAAAAAAATTTTCAGGCACACTATTGAGGAATCTGGAGCACTACGAAAAAAATTGAAGATAGCAGGAACAAAGGAAGGAGAAAAAACCTAAGTCAAAGACAAAATTTTATTAAAATCATAGAAGAAAATTTCCCTAACCTAGAGAAGGAGATGTCTATCAAAGTACAAGAAGCATGCAGAACACTAAATAGACTAGGCCAGAAAAGAAAGGCCTTTCAGCACAGCACAAAACGAAGACTATTAAAAGCTTCAGGGGAAAAAGACCAAGTAGCTTAAAGACAGACAGATGTACACACACACACACACACACACATCACACACATACACAAAGACACACACAAAGAAACAGACACAGAGAGAGAGAGAGAGACACACACACACGCCCCCAGACACACGCCCCCAGACACACGCCCCCAGACACACGCCCCCCCACAACCCCAGACAATGCCCCCCACAACCCCAGACACGCCCCCCACAACCCCAGACACACGACTCCCCACAACCCCAGACACACGACCCCCCATAACCCCAGACACACGACCCCCCATAACCCCAGACACACGCCTAATAGTTGTCAGAGAGGCTTTATCCAACAACTGAGGGAAACAGATGCTGAGATTGGGGAATCCTGCTGAAGAGGGCAAGAAAACATTGTAGAAGCCAAAGAAGTCACGGACACCACAAGAAAACCCACAGAATAACTATAACCTGGGTTCATAGGGGCTCACAGAGACTGAACTGACAACCAAGGAGCCTGCATTGACTGACCTAGGCCCTTCTGCATAAATGTTACAGTTGTGTAGCTTGGTCCTCTTGTGGACTCCTAACAGTGGGAACAGAGGCTGTATCTGACTCTTTTACTCACTACTCATCATACTGGAATACCTTGTCCAGCCGAATACATGGGAAGGTGCTTAGTCTTACTGTAACTTGATATGCTATGTTTTGTTGATATCCATGGGAGACCTTAATAGAGAGGTAGAAATAATGGATTGGGAAAGGGAAACAGAGTGGAAAGGGAGGGGAAATTGCAGCCAGGATAGGATGTAAAATAAGTAAGCAAAAGATCAGGGGCTGGAGATATGGCTCAGTGGTTAAGAGCACTGGCTGTACTTCCAGAGGTCTTGAGTTCAACTCCCAGCAACCACATGGTGGCTGACACCATCTATGGTAGGATCTGATGCCCTCTTCTGGCACAAAGGCATACATACAAATAGAGTACCCAAATACATAAAATAAACCTAAAAAAAGAGTATCTTTAAAAAATGAAAGATTGGATTACAGGCAGGCCTGTAGGGCATTTTCTTAATTAGTGATTGATGGGGGAGGGCCCAGTCTATTGTGAGTGGTGTTATTCCTGGGCTGGTAGTCCTGGGTCCTATAAGAAAACAGGATAAACAAGCCATGAGGACAAGCCAGTAAACAGCACTCCTACATGGCCTCTGCATCAGGTCTTGCTTCCAGGTTCCTGCCGTATTTTGAGTTTGTATCCTGACTTCCTTTGATAATCAATAGTGGTATGCAACTGTAAGCTAAATCAATCCTTTCCTCCCCATCTTGCTTTGGGCATGGTGTTTTGTAAGAGCAATAGAAACCATAACTAAGACAGGACAATTTGAGAGGTAGTATTGAAACCTAAAATAGTAGAAGTTTCCTAAAATACATACATATGTGAAGGTGATCTAAATGAAATCACCAAATAGTCAGGAGACAACACCAACTTGACATCTCTTGCTACCAAATGAAGCTTCCAGTGGCAGGAGTGGGTTACATCTAGTTGAGTTGTTGGCCAAAGTATTCCCATAGAAACCCCCAAACAACTCAAGGCTGTTGCCAGAGACTGTAAGTTGCTTTCCACAAACTGATGGCAAGTTCCCATTTCTGAAGACAACATCTATACAACTCACTGAACATCAAGAAGGCAAGCTTATATTTACATAGATCTTTCACCCTTGTGTTCCAGCATCTTCAGAACAGTAAGCTACTCTGCACACTGCCAAAGGAGAAACAAACACAAACCCACTTATAAACCCTTTGATCTACAATCTGTCCTGCCTGTCAGATATGTTAGGTTAGGGCAATGGTAGACTAAGGCTTGGGGAAGTAATCAACCAATATCTGATTTGACTTAAGGCCTTCTCCATGAGATGGACCCTTACCTAAAGCTTCTTGAGTGACTAAGGACATGAAACTTGATAACCTAAAGTCATAGAATATAAACAAAACACCTCTGCTCTAAAACAAAGGAATATATCAATAAAATGATTCCTATAACCTTCTGCTATACTCATGAGTGCCTTGCTTGCTATCATCAGAGAAGTTTCTTCCTGTAGTATATGGGAACAAAATACAGATACTCAAGCCAGACAACACACAGTGAGAGACCTTGGGATACTCAGGCCTAAACAAGATTTCTCTATCAAAACCCTGTCCTCAGGATCAGGGACCCCTACAGAAGAGGGGACAGAGAGTGTAAGAGCCTGAAGGTTAGAGGACACCAAGGTAAGGCCCTCTAATCAACAGAAGTGAAGCACATATGAACTTACAGAGACTGAGGCAGCATTCATAGGGCCTGCCCAAGTCAGCATCAGATGGGGTCCTAAGGCTGAAAGAAGTGGACACATGTTCTCATCTTTAATCCAGAATCTATCTGCAATTGATAAATACTTAGAAATAAAAATTTAGTTTTCTCCAAGGGAGTCTCAGTGGGGAAACAAACTACTATTAAGGGTAGACTACAAGCCCAGAAGTGGATGGGCAACAGAAAATGAACTCAATGGCATCTTTGGAGG